TCTTCACCCTTGACTTTGATCTAGCTTAGGCGCATAATGGAAACACTTAAGCATAACCGTTCCTAGTGGTTCGACTCTTGACTTACCTCTATACTTGTATATAGGTTTGTTAAGTGATTATAAATTTTGTTTGGCTCTAGGGAGGATTAGTCAACGACCTACTTCACCCTACATCAAAATGGCGCCGTTGCTGGGGAGCGGTGTCTATGTTTGAGTGATTTTGATTGCTTGAGTCTAAGTCTTTGTATATACTTTTCTTTTGTTTGATATTTGTTTGTTTTGTGAAAAAAAAGGCTTGTCGCTCATTTCCTCAATATGACAATGAGCCTTTTTGTGAATATTTCAATAGACTTGAGGGATTTTTGGTCTATAATCGTTGTAGTCTTTGGGAGGCTTGTGAGATTTGTTATTTTGGTTTGAATGAGCAAACTAGGGGAATAGTTGAAATCATGTATAATGGTGAATTTAGAGCATTGTCTATTGATGATGCTTGGGATTTTTATATTTGGTTTGCTTGGGATGTCTATAATAGGGGTAATCATGTTTCTAATATTGATGTGAAATGTCTTGATTCTTCTAATATTTGCATGAATTCCCAAGATTTGTCACATGATCCCATGATTGAACCTAGAACGAATTATTTCAACTCTATTTCCCCTATTGTTCATGATGATGAGGTACATGCCCAAGTTGATGCTAATGGTGTGTTTCAATATTCTTCATTATGTACCATGCCTTCTTGTGATGTGCTTTGTTCCCTCAATGATGAATCTCATGTACTTGATTGTGCCCCCTCTCCCCAAGGTGGTAAATATGCTCATGATTTTAATGTTGATGCTTCCAATCTTGGTTGTGATCCTTCTTCCCTTGTTGAACCTCAACCTTCTACACCTTTTGAGTCTCTTATTGATATCTTTAAATCTCAAATAAGGCATGTTGAGCTTGATAATGATCTTGGGCCTAATAAGGAGTTGTTTCTTAATTCTATGAGAAATCAATTGGAGATGATGAAAAGGAGTGAGGATCATATTGAGGAAGCAAGAAGAAGAAATGGAGAGCTAGAAAGCCAATTGTCATCTTTGATGTTTGTATGTGAAAATTCCAAATCCAATGTGTGTATTGAGGATGATGATGTTTTTAAGCAACCAAGATTTTGTGAGGATCCTATTAGTGAGCATAGGAGTGAAGGAAAGGGAGGTAGGAGTGATGACGATGATAATTTTGTGAATCTAACCTCCCTTTCCTTTGTTGATTATGTTGAGTCTCAAGTGCATGATTGTGACTCTTCTTTCCATGAGTATTTGGACTCGTTTGAGGTTATGTCCAAAATGTTCCTTGAGGTTCAAATGAAAAATCATAGCCTTTTGAGTAAGTTCATTGAGGATGCTTCATGGGAGAGAGATGAGTTTGAAATGAATTTAAATCCATTCATGCATGGTCTTGAGACTTTGGGCTTTAAGGACATTGAGGGAGTTGTTATTCATTGTTGTGATGGAGAGGATGATGTAATTTCTCTTAGAAGTTGGATGTTTGAGGTAGATGGAGATCATGACTGTCCTTCTTTTGAAGATTCAATGATTGACTTCCATGCTCTTATTGGTGATGTAAGGAATGGTAGTGAGGAAGAGTTCATTTCTAAGACCATTGCTCCTATCCCTTCTTCTCATGTTCCTTTTTCATGGAAATTTAACCATATCCCCTCCTATCCTATGTCCCTCCCTTCTTTTCTCAAGGAGCCTCTTGGGGACCCTCTTTCTATTCATGATAGAAAGAATACTCGTCGCCAAGCTCTTGGAACCATCACCATGAATGTCACCGAAGGAGTCATTGAACATACCACTACTTTTCAAGTAGTAGACATCAAGGCTTCATTCAACTTATTGTTGGGACGCCCTTGGCTTCATGACCTTAAGGTCGTCCCTTCATCTCTCCATCAACAAGTCAAGGCTATAGTTGGAGGAATTCCCGTCACAATTGATGCTTCCCCTATGAGAATCAAAGTGGTCGATAAACCAATCAGTAATGTGGAACACGATGAGAATGATGAAGATTTATGGGGCTTTATCACCGAAGAGGTCTCTTTAATCGAAGAAGATGAAAAGACCCCTCTTGACTATAATCCCCACTCAAATCTTGTGGTCAACACTATCCTTAAGAAACAAGGACATTTTCATGGAATGACTCTAGGAAAGAAGAAAGAGATAGCTAAACGAATGGGACTACCTGGCCTCCCTAAATTAGATACTTTTGGAGTTGGTTCTGAACCAACTCTAGAAGATCTTAAGCGAGCTCGGGAAAGAACCAATGCACGAAGGACAGCTCGCACTCAGAAAAAAGCAATCCCAATGGATCACTACCCTCTCACTCTAAATGGACAATTCATAAAAGAGGGAGAAGATTACCCATGCTACGAATTCCCAGAACCACTTGTCAGAAATGGGATACGACAACCAGGGTCTGAAATCTTCTTAGATTGCAATTTTCTAGACGAGATCCCGGCTCCTGTTTACAAGGAACGAACACCTCCATGCTTTGACTTTAATGTCATAGGACTCCTCTTTGGGTATGAGAAGAACGAACCTAAGCGTGTTGACTACAACTCCGCGCTTATCCAAACAGTGATATAAAGTGAAAACTTTGATCCCTCCAAGCTCATCACCCGAGCAGAAGGACTACTCAAGGGATGGCGCAAGACCGTGAAGGTGACTACACCAAATGGAAGGAAGATATCCATAACCACAGGACAAGGACCCATGTTTGAAAGTCTGAGTCGTCTGAGTCAGAGTCAGAGTCTTCCATTGGTAACTCTCCTAAATCCTTAGTAGTTGCACCTTCTTCTATCCCATAGTTTAGCACCTACTCCTAGAATAGTTAGTAGTCAGGTCCCGTCAGACCTTTCCCTTTTTAACGTAATGGTTCAAGAATTCAATAATATGTCTTCTTTCTCTTACTCCTCGTGCTTTTCCCTTACCCAAGATGACGAGTATTGCTTTGCTAACAATGAAAATGACAAAGAAATAATTAAAGCAATGGAAACACTTGAGAATAAAACAGTAATCATTGAAGAAACTGAAACAATTAACATCTCAGTGGATCCTACCGTTAAGAGAGAGGTTAAAATTGGCTTAACCTCTAAATCAAGAGGAAAGAACTCAACTAATTGATCTACTTAAAGAATTCATCGATGTTTACGCTTGGTCTTACGAAAATATGCCAAGAATAAATAGAGAAATTGCTCAACACACTATACCACTTATTCCGGGAATGAAACTTGTAAAACAAAAGTTGTGTCGAATGAAAACCCGATGAAGCTCATAAAATAAAAGAAGAAGTTCAAAAGCAAACAACTGCAGGTTTTATCAAAGTATCCAAGTATCCAGAATGGGTCGTCAACGTGGTACCAGTTCCCAAGAAGGATGGTAGAGTAAGAATGTGTGTCGACTACAGAGATCTTAACAAGGCAAGTCCAAAGGACGACTTCCCTTTACCACACATCGACATCTTAGTAGACAATACGGCCAATCATGCACTTCTCTCGTTTATGGATGGATACGTAGGCTACAACCAGATTCTCATGGCGGAAGAAGACATGGAGAAAACAACTTTTATAACACCATGGGGTACTTACTGCTACACGGTAATGCCATTCGGGTTGAAAAACACGGGTGCCACCTACCAAAGAGTAGCAACTGCCTTACTTCATCACATGATGCACAAAGAGATCGAAGTCTATGTAGAAGACATGATTGTAATATCAAAGGATCGCCCCAGACACCAAACAACCTTAAGAAAATTCTTTGAAAGACTTCGAAAATACAACATGAGGCTGAATCTTGCCAAGTGTGCATGTAGGGTTACCTCAGGAAAGCTCTTAGGCTATGTCATTAGCTCTAGAGGAATAGAGATAGATCCCACTAAAATCAACGAAATCATGTAAATGCCACCGCCCACGACCAAGAAGTAAATTCGAGGATTTATTGGCCGGTTGCAATACATAAGTAGGTTCATATCAAAGCTTACCACGATATGTGAACCAATATTCAAGAAACTCAAGAAAAATGTACCAACAACATGAGACAATGAATGTCAAGAAGCCTTTGATAAGATCAAAGCCTATCTTGCGAATCTCCTTGTATTAGCACCAGCATTGCCAGGCATTCCTCTTTGCCTTTACTTAACAGTCACCAAGGAAACAATGGGAGCTATGCTCGCACAAGAAATAGAAGGGAAGGAAAATTTTTTCTACTACCTGAGTAAGAAGATGCTTGAGTACGAAGTTTGCTACACACCGCTCGAAAAGTTGTGCCTCGCACTTGTGTGGGCCACAACCAAGTTAAGGAATTACATGCTCGTCCATACAGTCTATGTAGTATCTCAAATGGATCCCCTCAAGTACCTCTTTGAGAAATCCACACTCAATGGAAGAATATCCAGATGGATAGTAAACTTAGCCCAATTCGACCTAAGATTTATGCCCCAAAAAGCCATCAAAGGATCTGTGGTCTCGGATTTCTTAGCAGACTTTCCAATTGAGGATTCAACACCAACACAAGGGGACGATTTCCCAGATAAAGAATTAATGGTCACGGAGGATGATACTTGGACATTATACTTTGACGGCGCATCTAACTAGAAAGGGTGTGGTGTAGGAGTCTTATTAGTATCACCTAAGGAAGAACATGTCTCAATCTCAATTAAGCCTGACTTCGACATTACCAACAACGCTGCGGAATACAAACACTACTAAATTTTTGATCTATTGCAACCCCCAAATCTGTTGCATTAGGCGTCAAAATCTGTGGCATTAGGCCTAATGCAACGGCCATGTACCGTGGCATCTGCTGGCGTTGCAGTAGGTCTAATGCAACGACTTATGACACCTAATGCCACGGCACCACTGATCCGTGGCAATAGACCAATACCTGTTGCAACGACATAACTTATCCGTGGCAATAGAGTACTGACTAATAGTTATGATGAAATTGAACCTATTGCAACGGATGAAGCTAATTAATACAATGATAGGAGTACGTATCTACTGCAACGGATTGATCTTTTTTTTTTTTTTTTTGTTTTTTGTTGGGAAGGAATGGTAATATAATATATGTATAATTAGTCAGTACAAATCTAAATATACTAACAAAAAACAAAATAAAGTATCATTTATATATAATAATTATAATGCGAAATACGTACATTACAAAATATTACTCGCTTGTTTTTGGTATGACATACCCTACTAATAAAAAATAAAAGTTATATAAAGCATTTAATCGTCCAATAAGCCAAAATTTCCAAATCTTCACAAAGCCGGAACTTGAATAAGAGTCGCCAACATATATGCACCATTTGTTAGATGACTACTCACTATTCTTCCGCTGCATTTAACTCTTCATGCACCTACACGTAAAATTGAAAAAAATAATAGAAATATAATTGAACTAAATTATAAATTATAATAGACCAAGGCCACAATCAACATGAGTAAAGTTCAAAACGCACAGATGATGGTTGTTTAAAAGATGGCAGCAAAGAAGTTTTTTTTTTGGAAAAAGACATATAAAATGGGCAATCATCATTACATATATGGGAAAAACAAAAGAAAGGTTAAGGTTGAAACCTCACGGATACGCCAAAATGAAGATACTTGATTAATGTCTTGTGCAACCACACCATCTAATATTAAACCACTTTCCATCAAGCCAAACAAGAACGTCTCAAGCCTCTCTCTGGATACATAACCATCATCCAATTTCAGATCTATGAATTACTAATCATTATTTATAACAATATCCTGTTGGCAACCAATACAAAAATATGTAAGCAAACTACACATACTTTTCTTTAAAGTTAGCAAGATGGGTGGATGGGCCTCAGTTAGGAGTCAGGCTAGAGAAAAAGGGAGCAGAGACCAGCTCAGACAGAAAACCTAGGAACAGAGAAGGGGGAGGGGGGTAGAGAGTCTATGCTTGGTACAACCCTTAGCTACTTGGTCAAAGATAAATACAAAAGTATATATGTGTTATAACTCTTATAAGTACCACCAATCTAGACATCGTTGATGGAAGAGAAACACCAACATTAAAACATGCCAACTGTTGTGTGCCTTGGTAGATACAAGACAGCAGCAAACCAACAACTAATTTAATAACTTCAGATACATACCTATCATAGGATTCATCACTCCCTGTGGTCTCAATCAGAACATAGAAGTTGTGCACTGCAGGAGGCAATGGATTTCTAACACCTTCTATATTATTCAACACCTGTAACAGAATCAGCCAGGTCATTCTGTATCTTATTGATGTTCATTGAAATTAGTCAATTAGTCATCAAATACCTAACTTAAAATGACAAACAAACTAGTGTATTCTCCAAAAAATAAAAAATAAAATAAAATAAAATTATAAAGAGACTAGAGAAACCTGAAGTTTTTATATGGTTATATAGCAAGCTAGAATAATATGAAGAGAATGCCAGTAATCCAGTATGCCACAAAGGTAGAAATTAGTCATCAAAACCCTAACTGGATGTTTGAATGGGAAGGAAAGAATAGAATAGATTGAACTTTTTTCATACTTACTATAGCTGCTATAATGCGAGGACAGGAGTTAACTACAGTAGTATATTTGTCTCTAGAATAAGGGGAGTAGGGTATACGTGACAGAGTTGTGCTTGTGCATCCAAAGAAAGTATTGAAGAAATTATCAGGAGAGTCATTTGCAAGAGAGAAAGACACGTTCCCCACACAATTATGTTCTAGACATTCTGAAATACCTAAAACTCGAGTTGAAACAAGAAAACAAATTACCAAAACAAATAGAACCAATGATTGATGGTTTAACCTGTAGGGTTTCATAGTGACCCGACACTATGCGGAAGGAAACCCACCAAGACCCGCCCCTAAATTAAAGAAATTAAACAAGCATAATTAACTTAATCAAACAAGATTAAGGACAAGAATTATACCTTTGACGCGTGCTTCGCTCCTAAAGAGCTCTTACTTCAAAATCCCGAAAAGACGAGATCTCCGACGGATCGTACCCTCGACCCGACCTGAGCGTCCTAAGCCTCGAAGGTTAGTCGAGGCCCGGACAAAACAAACTTGGAGTTTTACGAATTTCAAGGCTTACTCAACAATGGAGTTACCTTTACTTTTCCACTCAAGGTTGTGTCAAATCCCAATACCAAGCTTGGTATTTATAGGGAAATGATCCCTTGATTTCCAATCTCCCATCAATGTGGGAGAGTTGGTAAAAATGATAATTATTTAATTCCAAAATTAAATAATTAATCAACTCAATCACAAATCGACACATGGCACAAATATAGAGAAGGCCAAGTGAGGACCAAGGCTTGGGGGGACCATTGCCTTGATCCCCAAGGCTATGCATTGGTCCCCACACACCATGCCCAAAACCGGGTCAAGGTGTGCTAGCTGGCTGTCAGCCAGCGTGCCAGCTGGGGCTGCTAGCTAGCGTGCCTTGCTTCCCAGCACCCAGCCAGCCAGCCAGTGCACGCTGCTGCTGGGCTGTGCTGGTGCTACGTGCTGGCGCTGGGCGCTGCTAGCACCTAGTGCTGCCATTAGCCCCAGCAGCCCACGCACTCACTCTTCGCGCCTCACTGCTAGCACAGCCAGTGCCTAGCACTGCTTGTGCTTGATGCGAGGCATGTGCGCATGCACACGCACCAGCCATGTGCCACGCACCACGCACTGCCAGCCCACAGGCATCACATGCGAGGCTGCTTGTGCGAGGCTGCGAGTGTCAGGCCCCAGCCCTCGCATGTGCTGTGATGCTTAGTGCTGCCATGCGAAGGCTAGCACTCAAGCACACGCACATGGCGCGCCATTTCCAGGCAGCCACCCATGCTAGCACTTGGTGCTTGCGATGGTGCTGCCAGGCCAGGCACGCACGCACGCAGCACCTAGTGCTTGCGATGGTGCGCCTGGTGATGCCATGGCCTGCGATAGGCGCCTAGGCTTGCGACAGCGCCCAGCCATCCTAGCACACCATGGTGCGCCTAGCACACACATGGTGCACCTAGGTTGCGATGAGCTAGCCTAGCCTAGCTATGGCTACGCTCATGCTTGTCGATTGTGATTTTGCGACGCTCGGTATCGACGCCCTAGGCTCGATTTCCGACGTCTGTATTCGTAAAACTCTATCGACTCATTAAATCCTTTCGGATTAATTCGACGTCTTGGATCGGAGTTTCGATTGGGTTCGACCCGAAGGGTTCAGTTAAGATTAAGCTGTAATATCAATTGTACCCTGATATTACTGATCGGAAGCGGCCTCCACCTAGGCATTCCGATCACTTGACCTTACTGAAGAATTACCTCTGTAATAATTCTGAACCCACTAACAGAATAATACACTTGTTGGAAGGACACCATTCCTTTCAATCTCCCACTTGTCCTTCCGGACAAGTGTGCATATTGTGTATAGCTCATTTCCTTTGTCACTTAATGTTTCGTCGTGAACTACAAGGTAAGATTCCTTGTCATCCTTATTACGTTCAGAAGTGTTTCTCGATCTCCGAGTTCGACTGTCAAATAAGCAGATGATTTCTAAAATCCATCTGAGCATGGCCATGCATTTTACAGTCTCACTCTTCGAGCGGCCTTTTTAAACAACAAAACATTTTCCCTATTGTTAGTAGGGGGACAATCCCAGTCTTGTATTGTAAGTTCTTCTTACTAAGAGGACATAGACTCCCGAGTGTTCCCGTTATGATCCCTAGTTACGGCAGACGTTAGCAAACATCAAAGAGCCTAGTACTCAAACAAGAAAACTTCACAGTACTCATGGTCTGAGGAAATAAGTTCCGATAGCCATAATGAGAAATGTACTTATGACAAAATTTGATTTTCTTAAAGTACTCTCATAGGTCTTATCCAGTACAGTTCTAAACTGTACCTGTGCAAATGATTTATGACTGTCACGTCCTCGCAGCACAAGAAACGATGCTGTAAATCATACTACACACTAATCTAATGCGGTCATCAATCGTCCATCTGTTAGATGACCTCGATTAGGGATACTTTTCGATTTAATATTCAACGTTCACTTAACAGGTGTTTCTTTATCCAAGACATGGTCTTGATACCCTGTTTTGAATATTTCCGTAAATCGAATGGACTCATTATTTAATTCTAAACCACAATTAAATAGTAATGGAGTGAATGATAATTTTGCACAAAAATTAATTACTCCATTAATGAATGGTTTTAGTACAGTGTCTTACATTAAATCAACCCTGTTTAATTAAAACACTTGTACAGGGAATATCAAAGCCAGTCTCCAACATGCTTGATTCCCATTGCCTCAACGTGTTTGTTGTGTTTCACTTGAGGCAGAGGTTTAGTCAAAGGATCGACCACATTATCATCCGTGCCGATCTTACAAATTCTGATTTCACCTTCGGATTTCCATTCCCTTATCATGTGAAATCGCCGTTGCACGTGTTTGACCTTCTGGTGTTCTCTCGGCTCTCTAGCCTGAGCGATAGCTCCATTATTATCACAATAAAGGTCTATCAGTCCCTTGATTGAGGGTACAACACCAAGTTCACCGATGAACTTGCGAATCCAAACAACTTCCTTGGCTGCTTCCGAAGCGGCCAAGTACTCGGCTTCAGTTGTAGAGTCTGCAGTGGTGCTCTGGTTGGCACTCTTCCAGCTGAACGCTCCACCATTCAGACAGAATACATATCCTGACTGTGATTTGAAGTCGTCTCTATCAGTCTGGAAGCTAGCATCGGTGTAACCTTCAACAACCAGTTCTTTGTGGCCTCCATACACCAGGAATTTATCCTTGTTCCTTTTCAGGTACTTAAGGATATTCTTGGCCGCAGTCCAATGCGCCTCTCCTGGGTTCGATTGATATCGACTCGTTGCACTCACGGCATACGATACATCCGTCCTTGTACATATCATGGCATACATGATCGATCCGATTAGCGAAGCATATGGGATCTGATTCATTCTTTCTCGCTCAACAGGTGTCTGTGGACACTGTTTCTTGCTGAGAGTTATGCCATGGGACATGGGTAAATGCCCTCTTTTGGCATTTTCCATGTTGAATCGAGCCAGTACCTTATCAATGTAAGTACTCTGGCTTAATCAAATCATCCTCTTAGATTTATCCCTATAGATCTTGATTCCCAATATGTACTGTGCCTCTCCTAAGTCCTTCATTGAAAAGCACTTTCCCAACCAGCCCTTTACGGACTCCAACAATTTTGTGCTGTTTCCAATGAGCAGTATGTCATCGACATACAGGACTAGGAATGCAATATCACTCCCACTGACCTTCTTGTATACACAAGACTCATCTGGATTCTTGATAAAACCAAACTTGCTGATGGCTTCATCAAATCGCAGATTCCAACTCCTGCTGGCTTGCTTTAGTCCATAAATGGACTTTTTCATCTTGCAAACCTTTCCAGCGTTGCCTGGAGCGACAAAACCCTCTGGTTGTGTCATATACACAGTTTCTTCCAAAATCCCATTAAGGAAGGCGGTTTTGACATCCATTTGCCATATTTCGTAATCGTAATATGCAGCAATCGCTAGGATAATCCGGACGGACTTTAGCATTGCAACTGGTGAAAAAGTTTCATCATAGTCAATCCCGTGGACTTGTCTATAACCTTTTGCCACCAGTCTAGCTTTGTATACCGATACATTTCCATCTTTGTCTGTCTTCACTTTGAAGATCCATTTGCAACCAATGGGTGTATAACCCTCGGGCAAATTCACCAAGTCCCAGACTTGATTTTCAGACATGGAGTCCATCTCGAATTTCATGGCCTCTTGCCATTTTGCAGAGTCGGGGCTCGTCATAGCTTGCTTTTATGTCGCCGACTCTTCACCATCCATAACTAGGATGTCCTGATCATCAGTTAATACAATACCAAGGTATTTGTCTGGTTGAGATCTTTGCCGTTGCGACCTACGTAGGGTAATCGGTTGAGCATTTACATTGTCTGTTTGACTCTGACCAATCTTCTCAGATGCTTCCAAAGTATCCAGATTGTCAGTTTTGTCAGGTTGACATTGTTGTTGCTCGTCCTCTCGAACTTCGTCGAGTTCGATTTTCCTCCCACTTGTCATTTTGGAAAGGTGATCCTTCTCCAAAAAGACACCATCACGAGCAACAAACACTTTGTTCTCGGATTTATTGTAGAAGTAATACCCTTTGGTTTCTTTTGGATATCCCACAAAGAAGCACTTATCCGATTTGGGGTGAAGTTTGTCCGAAATTAATCGCTTGACATATGCTTCGCATCCCCAAATCTTGAGAAAAGATAACCTTGGAGGTTTCTTAGTCCATAATTCATATGGAGTCTTTTCAACAGCTTTTGACGGAGCTCTATTCAGTGTTAGTGCTGCTGTTTGTAGCGCATGTCCCCAAAACAAGATAGGGAGTTCACTAAGACCCATCATTGACCGAACCATGTCTAACAAGGTCCGATTCCTCCGTTCGGACACTCCGTTCCATTGAGGAGTTCCAGGAGGTGTCAACTTTGAAAGAATGCCACATTCTTTCAAGTG